TAAACGGTTGCTGGAGTTGCGTTTTCGTAATGTGTTTGAGTAGCACTAAAAGCTGTTCGAAAAAACACGCCACATTAGTTAGTTTGTTGTTGTTTTACTTTAGAAGCGCAAGTGTGTGGTGGCATGCACGCGAGTGCTTGGCTTATTTGGACATGGATAATTAACCACTGAGGAATATTAAAATGCTAGTGAAGTATAAACTATGTAAACAAAGCATATTTTTGTGTGACCTGGCAATTAGCGAGTTTTTTGTTTATCCGAGAAAGTTGCAACGGACAAAATTTCGATACTGCTTTGTGTGAATTTGTTGAATACGCAATCGATTGAACTAATAAATGTGAGTTTCCGTTATGTTATTGCTAAATGTTTGATAGGAATTCTGTGTAGTTGCTTTTGTAGCTGCAGAAATCATTACCCCAAATATTTTGAAAAATGCTGCCGTTAACTTTGGCTGCACCGAAGCCAAATAATACCTCCAGCATGTATACAGTATAAAAATCCTTTTTCTTGATTTTGATCAACCTGTTTTTATAGAAGCTTTATGTTACAGTAGTCCGATCTGAAAACTATATTCGAAAATAAATACCGTATCTTGGAAACTAATTATTGCCAAATTTCTTCAAACAAACTTATCAAATTAAAAAGTTTTCCTTGCAAGGATTTGACTTGAATGGATCAGTTCGTATAGCAGCTGCACTCTATACTTTCTGGATATCGACGGTTCTGACAGATTATTAGCTTCTTGCCAAGAAATTGATAGGTCTGAATTCAGGTCGATATCTGAAAAATTGAGGGACTGGTTAGGATATATTCAGATGAATATGGCTAACTCGCCTCAGCTCGTCACAAAGATCATTTATATGCATATGCTTAGTCTAGAGGACCCCGATGTTTCATTTTGTTGTTACAATCATTGTGGCAAGCTATACTATATACCTTGTTCAGGATATAAATGCGGATTTTAGGCGCCCAAACTACTGCAGCATCTTGCAAGTGAAGGTGACTGCCATAAAGATAGCAGTATATCTATTTCTACCGAGCGCAACCTCTTTCAGAGTGGTGAGCACCAATATCAGGGCAGCGATATTACCTTTGAGTTCGCTAGATGTACGCTCAAGAAAGATTGTCTAGACTCCTTATCATTAACATAGAGTTATTTTATGATTGGAATTTGGTGGAGGTGTCTGACCACAGCGGTATTGAAGTTTCTGTAAGGTCGGTGAGCTTGCTTGGACCGGTACTTCTTGTGGTTCACCACTGGACTGTGGAATCTCCGACCAATTGTTGGTCAACTACCAGCAACTGTGCCGTCACAACGTCCTTCTGGGCTAGTGTAAATCGTAAGAGGTAATTCCCTCTATCGGAAATTGAATTAAAATACTTAATCTGTTTTGTAATAGGTTAGGGCGTCTTGTCGACAGCTGATATCTAAATACAGTAGTTTTTCGAGAGACTTTGCAAAAAAACATTACATGGCAGTCTAGGTGTGATTCCCTACCATGCTGAGAGATCAGCCATCTAATCTAAAATGTTGCGAGTAAGAACTTAAAGCGTCAGCAACTGGTAACCGTCATCTTTCCTCATCATGCCCTCATTTACAAACTACGAGTTTAGGTATTCGTGTGTGAACGCAGTCTTACTTTACCTCAACTGCTGTTGGTTCGTTGGAAAGAGAATTCGAAAATATGTTTAACAGTCATGGTAATGCGGAAGTAGGTACGGTAATATCTGTGGTTATTATTTTCATGTCATGTCTCGTTCTGGACAACGTTTGACCTTCTCATCTGATGAAAATATTAAAAAAGTGAAGGATACGTCTGAAAATCTTCAGAAAAGTGTTAGAGAAATTGCAAGAGAGAACGACATCTCCCGCGAGTCCGTTCGAATAATTTTTGTCGATATTTTGGTTACGAAACGTGTTCTTGCTCGACTCGTCCCGATAAAGTTGACTTTTTTTTCAAAAACAGTACCGTAAACAGGTCTCCTTGCATATGCTTGATCGTGCGAATACCGATTCTACATTCATGGAGGGCATTGTAACTGCTGATAATACTTGAGTTTATGAATTTGACGTGAAAAATGTTCGGAATCTTTACAAGAAGATATTGACTGTACAATGACCTACGGCAGAAAAAACATAAAAAATTGTTTTTAAAAATTATTGAATTTCGGCTTGCTAAAAGTTTATTTTTGATCTAATCTTATATCTTGATTGTATAGTGAACTAGTTATTTACAGAACCAGAAAAACATAATTTGATAGTTTGTCTTCTAGTAATCACCTTTTGAAAAGTAGTGTTTTGAAAAAAACCCGTTACAAACACAAATGATGGAATTGATTGAACAGAGCGGCTACAATGAAGGCTATAACTCAATGACTATTTGAGATAACGGTTAAACATTTTTGTATTATACTTTCAAATGTAAATGTATAGCCTGTCGAAAAATGAAATCAAAGGATTTATTAAAAAAATTTACTCTAGGTATATACCAAATATAACTTACAGGTCTAAAGCAATTAAAATTTTTTTCATCTGCCTCACTCTTCTATTTCACGCCTAAAATTCTCACTTCGCGCGTAAGAATATTTATACGATTTTTTCTTAACTCGGCCAACCCATGTTGGTTGGCTTATCAGCGAATCTCACCTACAAATTCTGTCTGCAAAAGTATACAGTTAGGTATTACTTGTATTGTTATTATTACATGTATGAGTGTTTCATGTGTGCAAGCTTATAGTGTTGCTCATATAACATCACTTTCTTTGCATTCCTTTGCTTATGCCTATAAATCACAACAACAATATATATTAGGTTGTTAAGTGTATCTATGAAGATGTAAATTGCTGCCAAAATTGTCTGATCGCGCTGATTAATTTGTTGTGCGTGGATCAAAGTGCAAATGCGGAGAATAAATACACTTATGTATCCCATCGAATGTGTATGGTACATGTGGATACTTGTGAGCTGTAAAAATATGTATAAATCATTTTTTATTTGCGATTTATTTCCTATAAAGCGCAGATAGCTGTAATAAATTCATAGATTGCGTGAGTGATCGCGCCTTGTGTGCGTGTGTAAACGAATTTTTGAGTTCTTACTGATTTTATGGGAATAACAAATGAACGAGCGGTATCATATTTGTGCCTAAATTGAAGAAGACTAGTCGAAATTCTATACTTACGTATTTGGGAAATCATTTAATCAATGATTACCATTTACTCTTGACCAATGATTTCGGTAGCACTTCCTGCTGCCTCAAGCTTCAAGCTCATCCACACCCCGTTTAAACGCCGCTTATTTAAATTTCCATAATCCAAAGCCCATTGTTTGTTTGTGCTCTCCGTTGCTTATAAAAATGCCTAAATTATGAATGAGTAAATATGTGGTTTTATAATTAATCACTAAATTATACATGACTGTCTGCCGAAATTAACACTTTTAATTAAGATGACAATGCGTGTGCTCACAAGGTACCCCCATTGTTCAAATAAGTATTATAAGGCAATAAATTAGGTGGGAAATAAATTTATGATAGCTTTCGCAGGCAATAAATGAAAGTAAGCTACACATGTCGCGCCTTGAGCAACTATAGAGACATCATTTGTGTAGATTTATGTCGAGTTTTTATTCGGTTTTCAAGGGCTCCACTTAACTGGCTACGCATTAAAGACATTAAGACGAACACATGAAATTTATGGGCGCTCTTGTTTAACATAAGTGCGGCTTATTGTTAAAAAATGTTGATTTCATTGATAATGATCTTGCCGCACCAGATTTTAAGCAACTTGTCATTTAATTATAACTAAATCAATTTTTCTGACTACACATACACACATATATATATATATATATATATAAATTGAAACGCTTTTTGGCCGTGCAGGTTCCGTGACTCTTTTCGTATGCTAATAGTTTGCTCTACACAATAGCTAAGTAAGATTTATTGAATATCTTTGTTGAACTGCATACAACGTTTCCAACGCTAATCGCCATCGGCTTCGTGTTCTTATTTTAATAAAACTAATGTATGAATATAAATTTTAGAGGATTATATTCGAAACAGACGCACCTATAATTTTGAAGCGAAATTGCGCGAGGTTTGGTGTGGTCGAAAATGTTGGCGAAGCTATGTTTAGCTTTCTTGGTGAGTGAGCTATTTAGTTTTAATACAAAAATGATCTTAGTAAACTTCATAAATTTTTGTTTTATTAGAATAACAAGTGATCCATGTAGAAGTACTTTTTTCTATAGCCTTTTTTGACAGATCCCGCGTGAGTCCTGTCAAGATTTCATGTTATTTCTGTTCAGTATTGCTTGGCATTTCATCGTCAAAAGACTTAGGCCTGAATAACGTTCACAAATTGTTCAACTTATGTTACGAAAATCCAATTTCCGCACAACTTATGGTCAACATAATCGGCCTACAGAGCGTACTATTCGCAACACCATCACTCAACTTGAGACCCAGCATTCATTATTGGAAGCAAATAAACTAGACAGAGCAGGCACCCCCTACAACTAGAATCCGTAAAGAGGCAATTGGTATGATTCTGTTGGATATTTAATCGAGAAAGATGTTACATAAATAGCTGAATGCCGGTGGGATCAATCCCTGGTTTGCAGAACAAGCAAGTAGATATGGTTTAAATGGAATATGAGCCGCACATGTCGACTATTAAAATTCAAAAGGAATCATATGAGAACTTTAATTGCTTAAAATTACCGCAACAAACATATTTGTCGAGAGTTTTTTGATAATGTCTCGTAAATTTGCAAAACATTTTGTACTGATGCACCTTACCAGCAACACTGGCTGGTTCAGGGGAGATGAAATGGAAGGAGAGGTTTTTATTTTTAGTTTCCTCATAAAGATCTAGAAGCGTCGTCAGGCATTCACTCCACCTACCCCCCTAATAAGACTTTAAAGAGGAACTCTGATCTTCAAACGCCAATTGTGATATATTTTACAGTATCAATTTTTTTTTTTTAACTATTTCAGGCCGTCCATGCCACTGGAATCATCACTGGACTCTCTGCTAACAGCGGTTCAGTCGGCTGTGGTGGTTTGATTTGCCGACCAATTACGGGTATCTTTACGCGCGATCCGTTACCAGAAGACGCTTACGTGCACGTGGCTACAATACCAGCAGGTTCTTCAAATATTTCAATAACTGAGTTAGGAAACAGCATAAATTTACTAGGTAAGCAAGAAGTTGCTCATTTATAAATTAACATTATATTATTTCTTTTAACTTCGATTTGGTTGTATGCGATTACTTCATTTTATACTAATCTCTTGCAGTGCTGCGTACACCCGATCAGAAATATATATTCAACGGCGATAATGTGGCTTCAGATAGTGGCGCCTATGAAGCGGTGGGCGCGGTTTTCGACTACCATCGTATAGATGGACTACAGCATGGTGATGGTGTTACCGAATGGATTACTTGCTTGGGGCCCATAAGAGATATGCTAGAGTTAATGGTGAGTACCATACTATTTTAAATAATTACGCTGAAGTGTAGTAAAGACTAATTTTGTATGCAACAGATATATAGCAAGTCTTCGAATCCGGGCATCAAGTATGAGTATCTGTTGCCTATCACATCAGACTCCGAGGAGAATGAGTTATCAGTAGAAAGCGACGGATTCTTGAAAAACGGTCCAGAAGAGAGTTTTGCAAGCAATTCACGTTCCGGTCGCAGACGTCGCTTCAACTGGAAAGTAGTTGGCTTCAGCGCCTGTTCAAAAACTTGCGGTGGTGGCATACAAACACCGATTGTGCGCTGTGTACGCGAGAATCCCGTTCGGTACTATTCGCAACGCCGTTGCATGCATTCGGAAAAACCAATGCTGAATGAAAATCTGCTGCGCTGTAATACCCAACCATGTCCTGCTTATTGGCGCATCGAGGACTGGAGTGAGTGCCACTGCCAACAGGGCGAAGGTTATCGTGAGCGAGACTTAAGCTGTGTTCAAGAGCTTGCTTCCGGTATTGTGATACATGTCGACAATTCAGCATGTACCGATGAGATGCCGAATCCGCGCAAACAATGCGACTGTCCAAAGAATAGACGACGCACACATGCTGCCCGCTATCGTACGGCGCATGCGGGCGCCAACGGTACTAATCATCGTGGGCGCGATAAGAATGACAAATCTGGCATTTGGCTAATGTCCGATTGGAATCAATTCTGTTCGGCTGAATGTGGCTCAGGTGTTGAATATCGCACGATATTCTGTGATCGTACAAAGCCGAATACGGATCGGTGTGACTCGCGTGCCACGCCAGAAATCACTCGTCCATGTGAACGAGAACGAGATTGCGATAAAGGTGAATGGTTCGTTGGTCCGTGGTCACCATGCAATGGCAACTGCTTCAATTTGACGCGCAGTCGTGCCGTTTATTGCATACGTAATCAGGAAATAGTTAAGGATGAGGATTGCAAACCTGAACTGAAACCACAGTTAGGCGAGAATTGTTCGCACGAAGAAGTGGAATACTGTGGTCCGCGTTGGCATTACTCTGAGTGGACGGAGGTATTGACAAACTATAATATTATTATATTTGCGAAAAGTATACTTTATGAACTCTTCTCTCTTTGCTGTGTTCGATTTAGTGTTCGAAATCGTGTGATGGCGGCACTCAACGACGGTCAGTCAAATGCTTAGAGTACGATGAACGCGAGGCTGCAATGCGTGAGTCGGCGAAGTGTCGGTATTCGCTGCGCGAGCCGATCTATCGCAGCTGTAACACCCAAAGATGCGATGGTAAGATACATAACAGAAGTGGGAGATTTCTCAATAATAAATTCAGACAAAATGTATAAGTTTTTATAAATTTAAGGAACTAAATCAAAATTCTTTACTTTTTACTTAGTAAACAACTTAAATTATTTGAAATAAAAGTGCTTAAATTCACTTCCTTGTATTTACTTTAATATGATTAAAAAATATATCAAGAAGGTAATTTTAGCATTTTTATACTCTTGCAAAATCTTACTATGAATAAAATAGTTTTATTCACCTAACGGTTGTTTGTATCACCTAAAATTAATCGAGTTAGATACGGAGATATATTGGATAGACTGTGTATAAATGATCTGGATTACGAAACGAGTTGAATTATGAGTGATTGTCTGCGGGGCACAAGCGATAGCTTAGTAAAAATTTAAATGTCTTATCCAATGTTCCCTGGTATCCAAGGGGGATAAGATATAAAGCTGTTACATAGTATAACTGCGATTTGTTAGAAAGTGACATCTAAAGTTGAAACAAATGAGCGTTCTTATAAGTAAAAAGTCTAATAATAAACCCTCTAAGCAATAATAACCAAATTCGTTGAGGGAATATATTTTCGGCATCCCACGTCATTCCGTAAAAGGACTACTACATACAATTTTGCAGCCGAGATAATGTAAAACTATAGGAGCCGTTTATTTAACGATGGACGGGGCGACGTCCACATTTAAACGTATATATCATCGGTAGGTAATATTATCATAACATTTCAATAATGAGCGAAGTCAGCCCAAATCCATATTTTCCATCTGATTCCTTAACTTTCCAGTATAAAAATTAAGAACCAATAAAAATATCTGGAGGAAACTTTGAAGGAGTTGCGCCTTTGAGTTATGACACCCTAATACCAAAAATTATCCAAATCGAACCAAAACTATTCAAGACCCGAGACACCGAAAATATGGACTTCAGTTCCTATACGTTAATCTGTGAGATATTATGCAAATTCGGACACAATCATTTCCAACTAAACCTGTCTTCGATCTTTGCAAGAGTATTAAATTTTCGGTTAAATCCGAACTTTGTCTATCTCCTCTTATTTTTTATTGATTTTCTAACCTTAAGAATTCAAATAAAATGAATGAATTTTTAAATAAAACATAAGCCTCGAAATCAAGGGATTACTAAAATGTTTCTTATGGCGAAAATAAGAATTTCTCCATCAAAAAAGAAGCACAACACAATTGCGCACGTTTCACAGGGCATGAAAGCACAATGTTGCAAGGTGAAAGCAACCAGTGCTTGAAAAAATGGTATCGAGTCACTACTTTCCAACGCCTGGCGAAACGAGTACATATATAATTACTTTACTATATCACAAACAGGCCACCCCCTTTTAAACCCACCACAGCTTACTTAGCCGCTGCGAATTAGTTCAAAGTTTCAACATTGGCGCGTTCACCAAACAACTTCCTTCAACTTTACAATTTCGCACACCTTTTAATGCTTTGCTCGTATTTTAAGTATAAAGTTTGTTTGAGAACCTCTTTTGATGTCGCTTATTGCGTTTTTATCGTCTGCTTTCCTTTCTAGTTATTAAAGATTTGATTACCAAATTTGTATCCATATAAGTAAACCAATTTAAATGACTAAAACACCCCTCATAGGAACATAGTCCCACATGAAAGAATTGTTTGCTCGGGTGCGTCTGAAACATTGCTCTTGGTAGCAACTAAACTCCTGTCAGGGAAGCTTTAAATTCAAACAACAACAAAACAAATTGTTAGCAATTGATGAAGAAGAGCAGAAAGGTAGTTTTTCCAATTCTATGAAAGAATACTAGGCTACAAATTCGATATAAAAATAGCTTTAAAATAAGTTTAGCACTTTTGTTTCATATATACATACTTATATCTTATCTACATATATGAATAACAAATCGTTTACTTATTATTTCAGAGCCACATTTAGAGCTGCTGCAAAATGATGTTGCGGTCGCGTGTGTGGACGAGTTCAACAACTGTCAGTGGGCTGTCAAGGCGAAGCTCTGCAATTACGATTACTACAAGCAGAATTGCTGTTACTCCTGCGGTGCCGCCTAATTACACACTCGACTGCGTGGAGGGGTACTTAGCAATAGAATACGCTGCAATATTTAATTAGCCTAATTTTTGTTTTTATTTCGTTTTCAAAAAAAATTTTTTTTTTCAAAAAGTGTAGTATTCTTATTTGAATAGCGAAAAAACGATTTGTACTCTTTTTACCTACGAAAAAACCACAAAAGTAATCGATTCGATTTACTTAATTACTGCAAATTCTTAAAAAAAAAAAAAAAACTATTTATCTACAATTTAATGTTTTGTGTGAAATTAAGCAATACACGTAGGCATTTTCTAAGTATTTATAATAATAAAGTTAGGCATAATTGTTTAGTTGGCATTTGTTCTCTGAGTTCTGTAAATTAATGCGCATGAGAGTAATTAAAAAATGAGCTAGAAATCATTTTGTATTTTAACTTTTATTTTAATTAATATTGTGTATGTATTTATTTATAAGGCACATTCCATATACATACATACGTACATATACAGTTGTATTTGCAATATTGAGCAGCCGGTTACGCATTCAAGTGCTAAAATTAGCTTTAGACACTTGGGACACAGTATTTTTTTTTGTATAAAAACGGTTTCCGATATTTGTCGAATTTGACCTACTTTACTTTCTTTGAAAAAAAATCGAAAGGTTTCTTTAAATATTTGGAACGATTTTTTTTCTTAAACGATATTATTTTTACCGAAATTTAAATAATCCGATAACTTAAGTCGAAAATATGTCCTGAGTCCTATTTCATAATCAAATTGCAATTAAAAACCCTTCTAGGTTTTCTACGTTCTAGGTTCACTCGGCAAAATTTTCGAATTTCTCAAAATCGTGTTATTTATTTTAGAAAAAAAAACTAAATGCAATAATTTAACTAATGTGTTCTAATAGTTTTATGTTTCTGTCTAATGTTTTATATAAAAGAAAGTTAATTCAGTAACATATTATAACTAATTTATATATACATATTTACTCAAATTATTTTTATTTTTTATCACATTTTAAATTTAAGCGACCATTTAGCATATAACTGACAAACAAAAAAAAAAAAAAAAAAAAAAACAAAAAAAAAAAAAAAAAAAAAAGTACATAAAAAATTAAGTGCAAAGAAATAAAATAATATTTTACTAATTAATAAAATTCACTCTTTTGTAAGAAAAACTAAATAAACGAAATTTTATTGTTGATTTTACTTATCATTCTAACCTTTGTGTAGACATAGATCTTTACCGTAGACCTGGAAAATCCGCCATATATCAGATTTTCATAATTCGTCAACCCTGTTGAAGATCTTTGACATCAGATCGACAACCATCACCTTTTGTCGATTTGGAAGTGACAACACTGATAGGAGCTGCCTATTCGACGTCAAGTATAAATTTGGTATACCTATAAAAGTCATATTGTTACACAGAATGACGTTAAGCACATTTATCAGCTACGCCAAAATGGGGGAGGAATTCTCCGAGCCCAGAAGAGAAAGAGAAAGAAGTTGGTCTAAACAGAGCACTCCAGCGAAAAGCTCCTTCGATTCGAGACGCATGGATGAACGACACGAAAGCTTCACGACCTTCACTGAATGGTTTGCGAACTTGCGTACTTCTGTTCGTGATAAAGTAGCCTCCCCAAAACACTTCTGCAGAATTTTGACTGAGTCCGTAGTTGTTATTCCTTTGGAATTTGAAATTTTTGGCAAACTTGTTAAAGTTTTGTCCATGCTACAAATCGCCTGGCAACGCCCTTGTGTTGTAGAGAAAACTCTTGCCAAACACACACTAATTGACAAATATATATGGAGGTTCTACAATATAAGAAAAACCTCATTGGAAAGCGTAGTTCATATGGACCAGTCCGGGTCAAATATGATCAGATGGTATAATTTGATAGGCAGTTGTGTTTTGTGAATACAAACCCACGTTAACCCAAATAATGAAGTATTTGTACCTTAGTATTGGTTGTCTCATTTCTCTGTTACTTATGTAGTTATAAATTTGAATTATCTATTAACGGTCTACTAACTGTAATTACACTGCAAAAAGCAAATGGATTTCACTTGTAGCTTTGAATATTTCATTAAACACGATACATTTTAGCGAATCATATTTTTTATTGTGGCACCAGAAGCACAATAACTGTATAACAGTGCATTGCTGATACAGCTAGCGAGCAGACTGTCAATAGCTTTTCGGAATGTACATACAGGTCCAGCCTACTAAGCAAAAACCGCAATCGAAAACCAAATGGCAGGCGTTTTGTGGAAACTTTCGTTGGCTGAGGGGTATTGGATTGTATATAAAAAACTATTTCACCGAAAGTGGCATACATGGATTTGCATATTTGGTTAAAGAGCAGTTGATTTTGATTGAACAGTAAGTGTAGTGCGGGCCATATTTTAAAGCTTGTTTAGTTGAAGTCAAAATAGCCCGAAATAACATATATTTTCTTAATTGAAACGTGCGAAAGTGTGGCTTGGCTTTTACTCTTAATCGTATCGGTGGGTATGTGCATCTTTACGGGTCTGCAAGCGATGGATAAATATAAGTCCAAGAGCACAGTTATGGGTATGGAGCGTGACTTCTACTTCTGGCGCACACCAATACCCAGTTTTACGGTTTGTCCTATGCGTCGCTTAAGTCTGGAGCTTTTCGATAAGTATTGCCAGTACGTCTAAATTCCAATATACCGTTAATAGCAGACTTTATATGTAAAGCAAAAATATATTATCGTTTTTCATTTTCTCTTATTCACTTAAGCAAAAAGAAAATAACGGGTCAGCCGAAAGAGGATCTGTATGTGTTCCTTGAGACTTTGGCTAACTCGACATATTTTAACTTCGCTAATATAACTGTAAGTCCGAGCATCGATGGCACCTTGGACCGCTTGCGCTTGCGACCTGCGCAGTACATGTCCCTAATATATAACTTAACCACCGACTTCACGCAGGAGGAGGAAGGCCGCAAACCTATTAAGCTGAATGATGGCTTTAAAGATTTTGTGGTGCGTCAGGTGCTTACCGAATTCGGTATTTGCTACTTGGGTAACAGCTATTTACACAATGAGTATACGGCACGCTACTTTTTGTTTGGCAAATATCCGAAGATCAATAAGGGAGATGCCAAAATGCTGTTGGGTAGCTACTTCGATAGTGCTTTGTTGATCTTATCAGTGCCGAAGGCGTTCGAAAGTATTGGGGTGAGTTTAGTAGGTTTGCTAAAAACAAGTTGATAGATGAAGAAAACATATTTTTGAGTATCTACCGCTTAAATTTTTAACGCTCTGCAGGTTTTCATACATTCTTCTCATGATGCCTTAAAAATTGAGCAGAAGTTTTTCTATACAAACGAGGCGGTGTACTACAAAGCTGAGACGCGAGAAATTGTTGCCGAAGATGGTTATGAAAAGTTAGTTTAATCTTATTTCTGATATAAATACAAAGTTTTAATATTTTTATTTTTTCTTTGAAGATCTACCACGGTGGCTCAACGCAATTGCCGTTTCCCGCATGAGTCGAATTTAGAGCATTTTGAAATTTATACCAAAAGCTTTTGCATGCAAGAATGCCGCCTTAATTTGGTCTATAAAAAATGTAAATGCATACCTCATTTCTATCCGAACAGAAGTGAGTGAAATTTTTTGATATATAACAACTTCAAAGTATGTTTTTAAATTTGAAATTCGAAATGTTTTACATTTTAAAGTTAAGAATCCGAAGCCGATTTGCTCTTATAATACGCTTAAGTCTTGTGTTGCTAAAAATGCAGGTATTTAACGCATTGATAGCGTAGGCAAAATTGGTCTCATTACTTTTTCTTTCAGAGTCCTTTCGCCGTTTACACAGTTCAAAAGCTCGGAAGACAGTACATTGCCATTGCATGGATTCTTGCTTCAACAGCATTGTGGTTGTGAAAAGTGTGGAGGTAAGACTTCATTACGGCTTGTTACAGTAATTTGAAAAAATATAAAGGTTCTCGAAGCTCTGAAAAAATTAGAAGTGAGTTTTTAAAGACCGTCGAAACCATTATATGCCAACAGAGAGAGCAAGCGCAATAACAGGACAATTGGGAAGTCCAAATTTGGATCTTTGCCGTCGTTTTCATGCGCTTTTAACGCGGTGCATCGGTCGACTTCGAAGTGAAATGATGGAGACAGATAGAGCAAAAACTCGGGCTTACAGGGTTTGTTCGGAAAGTAATAGGACTGATTTCGTTGTGACTGTACTTCGGAGCGTGCGCTCACCGACTGGATTCGATTTGGCATAAAAGGCATCATCCACCATGAATTCGTTTCTCCTGAACAAACCGTCAACGTGAAGTTTTACTTGGAAGTCCTCAACAGACTCGAACGAATGGTCAATTGGGTCCGAAAGACATAGCAGCCGGTTGGCAGTTGCACCACGACAACGCCACACCGCTTTTCCTGTGATCAGCTACCTAACCAAGGCCGGCATCCCAACGCTTCCGCAGCCCAGATGTGGCCCAACGGACGCCAAGTCTAAACTTAACGCTCCCTGATCGTTGATTTTTATGAGGCAGTTCCCGGAGCCTCGTGATCACGTCAAGTTCTTCACAAAGTAATGATCAGACACCTGTCAAATTTATACAAGCGCCTTTTAATGTTAGGGCTGATTGATAAACATCATATCGATTTCCTTCTAATGACGCCATCTGGGTGTCATGCTAGGGACTTTTCAATTGATCTGTAAGATGAATCTACTATCCTTGATCTCCTGGTATGCTTCCATATATCAGGCGTCTTGGTTCTTAAACTATCCATTGCATTGGACTTGCAACGCTTCTTGTCATAACTTTTTTTCAACTTTATACTCTACGAAAGTCTCATGCTTTTATACAACTATGGTTTGAAACCCTTTATACAGATAAAATATAATTATGGCATCTCGTGCCTGTCACGCGTTTAGTCTACTTCTCTATTGCGCTCTCGGTCGTTTTAGTAATACGTAAACGTACTTTATGTTGTATCAGAATATTTCGAAACGGTAACCATTGTTTCTCATTTAAATTTTAGGTTTTAGCAAATCTCAATATCTTTCAGACTGGTTTTACGGTCGGCCTTGAGGTAACCACTTGGCCATTGGAGCTGCTGAAACGACAAGTGATTTTTACTTTCACCGATTTGTTGGGTGAGTAATGGCAGTAATGGCGGCAGTACGTAGATATGCGCATTATAAGGAAAAGGAAGACATGATAATAATTAATTCATTGCAGTTTATGTTGGTGGCGCAGCCGGATTGTTCCTTGGCTTCAGCGTTTTGGGTGCCATTGAGTTCTTCTACTATTTCTCACTGCGCTTGTTGTGGTATTTGAGAGGTTACAGATATTAATAGCGCGATGAAATTTAAAATTAAACAGCCATTTCCGTTCCATTATATACATTACATAATTCCTGGTATATAACAACATTATACCACTTAACAATACAATTTACTACGAATTACTACGATTTACTAAACAATGTTATTGTCACCTCCAAAAAGGTTCGAATGCGTGCATACGAAAAATTTATTTATACGGCTCGCCCACCGCTGAACTCATCACCGCATATTAAATGCGCGCATCAATATATTCTGGCTTCCTTTGTGCTTTGCAAGCCGAATTTTCAAACACTTGAAATCAGTCACTATGAGTTTCTGGGTGAAGAATCACGACGGTTCTACGTTTTTGGAAAAACCACCGCGCATTGTGCCGCTCTTCAATCCCGCCCAACGGGAGTTTCTCGAAGATGAGCACCGCCAACGCATTCAAATGCAAAAGCGTGCACAACAGAGTGAAAAAAACACCGAGTACTACATACGCAAGCAATCGACGCTGGACGACGCACGCCTACTGGATGAGCACGATTCCTTCTACAAGACAACGAAGAGCTTACTGGTGCTCTTCCAAATTATGGGTATAATGCCTATACATCGTAATCCGCCCGATAATAATTTACCACGCACAGGCTTTTCGTGGACGTCGCGTCAAATGCTCTATGCCATGTGTGTTTTCTCGCTTGAGACCTTCATTGTGGCGATGGTGTTGCGTGCTCGGGTCAAGACCTTCATTGAGCAGCCGGACAAGCATTTCGACGTGGCGATCTACAATATTATCTTCATTAGTCTATTGTTTACACATTTTCTGCTGCCAGTGGCGAGTTGGCGTCACGGGCCTGAAGTGGCGATCTTTAAGAATATGTGGACGAATTATCAGTATAAATTTTGGCGCGTCACAGGCTCGCCCATCGTTTTTCCCAACCTATATCGCCTCACGTGGGGTCTATGCATATTTTCGTGGACCCTGAGCGTTGCCGTCAACGTATCGCAATACCTTTTGCAACCAGACTTTGAGTTTTGGTACACCTTCGCCTACTATCCCATCATAGCAATGCTGAACTGCTTCTGCAGCTTGTGGTATGTCTCTTATAAACAAAATTTTCGGGGTTTATAGTGAACATATAGTGCTCTAATACGAATCTGCATCTCGCATTTATTCTAGTTCTAGCTATATTCTAAAATTGATTTGTTTAGGTACATAAATTGCAACGCATTTGGCACGGTTAGCGAAGCCCTTGCAAGCCAATTGGAGTTGACCCTGAAAAGCGATAAGCCAGCAGAAAAGTTGACGGAGTTTAGATACCTATGGGTGGATTTGAGTCTCATGATGCAGCAGTTAGGTAAGTCGATGATGACAACCTTTTTATCATTGAGAAAATTTACAAAAAACAGGGACCGCATTTTTTCGCATAATTGCTTGATATACAATTTGGAACCGAAGACGTTGTGACACTTTCGAAGTTTTATCCTCATATCAGCTAGAATTCCATTCAATTAAGTATTAGTCCTCCCTTCCTGTCTCCAGGTAAAGCGTACTCCAACATGTACGGTATGTACTGTCTCGTCGTTTTCTTCACCACACTCACTGCCGCTTATGGTTCGATAAGCGAAATCATGGATCATGGTGCAACATACAAGGAGACCGGACTGTTCGTCATTATGTTCTATTGCATGAGTCTGTTGTATATAATCTGCAATGAGGCACATCAGGCATCATGCAAAGTGGGCTTGGATTTCCAAACGAAATTACTCAATGTCAATTTAATTGCTTTGGACACGGCCTCGCAGCGTGAGGTGCAAATGTTTTTGCTTGCGATTGCGAAGACGCCGCCAATAATGAACTTGGATGACTATGCAAATATTAATCGGGAGCTTTTCTCATCGGTGAGTAGAGAAAGATGCTTCGATGTGAAAAATTTGTATGTGGACAATATGGCAAAAATATTTTTTTCATTGTAGAACCTTACATTTATGGCCACCTATTTGGTTGTACTGCTGCAGTTCAAGATTACGGAACAAAGAGGCATGCGTGAAAATGAATCTGAGTCTATCATGGATTATGGCGAGTAAATTTGAAAATGAAAAGGCGATCTCAACTTTTGCATATATATTCATTTACTTGGAGCACCTGCAGCTGCCTTGATATCTCATCTATCATATCACTACAAAAACTGTGTACTGTTTTACCAAATATCTTGAATTCGGGTCTTTTATGTAGAACTACATGTCTGTATGAACAAAATATTTACTGGTAAAACCATTACATCCATTTATTTTCTTTCAGTTGTCCTTCTGCAAGGTGAGTATGTAGGTTCGCATTTGCATTGGACTTAGTTCGACGACGAAACGGTCATCGCCGTTCATATACTTTTCCGCCAAAGTCTGCTTTCGCACCTTCAGTTTACGTAGCTTCTCTGCACGCTCGCGATTAAGTTCCTGCGACTCCTCGGTATCGCGTTTTATACGATTCGTTTGCATTTGCTCTTCATCTTCGTTTTCTTCTCGCTTCGGATTTTTTGCTTGGTCGTAGTATTTCGCACCCAGTAACGGTCTGTCGGCTCTCAACAAAAGTTGATGCTGAACTGACCTTTGGTAAACACCGTAAGAGTTGTAGCCAACCTCCGGTCCATCTGGCACGAATTCCATGCGTTGGTTATCGCCCAACCAAGCATTTGCTGCAAGCGTGGTTTCACGCATATCTGCGATTTTTAAGCTCGATAATACGGTTTGCACATTAAATTGCACGGCTTTCGAATACTCGGGATCTTCATCCTTCTCCAGTATGTGTTCGAAGCGTACGAGTACCTCGTTTTCGTGCCATGGTTCGAAGCTCATGAGGTGTATATTTTTCGGTAGCTCAAATTCTATGAAGGTGAACTGTAATTTTGATGATTATTGAATACGGAAGTATATTATACCGACGGTTAAATAAGATCAACTTACAATGTTAGTGAAATTTTCACGCCAGTCGGCATAGTTTATATTCTCAGCATCACTGAAGAAACTCCAGGCCGGTAATAATTTGCGCAACTGCGTGAAGCGTTCAATTGCCTGTGTAGTGGGACTTTGCTGTTTCTTTGATGAGCCTACGATGAGATAGTGTATGCCACGCGCTATCAAACCCTCTCCGTAAGCGGTCTCATTCAAGGCCTCGTTAACGCCGAAGGCATCGTCATGCAATAGACGTCGATGAACCATCAATTCCAAAGAGCCAGCGCCCATAGAGCTGCCACCCTGTGCGCGATCCGTTAGTATGGCCATACGTGCGTTTTCATCCTCCAAAGCGATCTTCGTGGTGATGGGATAATAGTTGCCAGCGGTGTGCTCCAACAATTTCACCTTCCAAGTATCGCGATGATCTCGTTTACGTTTAAGCATTTCACGACCGTTCGAATCAGTGTAGAAGACACCATTTGAATCTATATCCGAGTTGAAACGACTAACAATCTCTTTGCCTCTTCCATCGTCCACCGGAATCGGACCGACGAGCCATTCAAATTCGGCATGATGCTGTTGTCGATAGACACGCACCACTTGACTGACCCACTCATTGAATGACTGGTGCACTTCCTCCACTAGATTACCACGATAGATTTTAAGTTTGGGTTGTAGAGAAATCGAACGGACTTGATCGTGGGCAGGTCGGAAAATATATGCGCCTGAAGAGCGATTACGGAACTCGCGATTGTTACCTATGGCGGCTTCGTAATACACAAATTCTTGATTGACTATGCGTGTCATGCCGTCGGCGGTGACAGTTACTAGAAAACCGTTGGTATCGAAGTTGAGTCGAATATACTGAAATACGGAATATCAAAAGTGGTGAGTCTTCGCCAAGAAATATTAGGATCTTTAGCTTACCTCATTTCCTATGCTTGTGAAACTCGACTTATTTGCGGGATCTGGCACAGGTTTCATGTGGTTGTCATTTGTTTTTGTTATGTAATAAGACTTGTAACCCAGCGGTGGCAGTGAGCTTGCAAGGAAAACAAGTTCATAAAGTGCGCTAGATTTTCGGAAATTGAGATCTTGAATAGGGACAGGAATTGGTAAGAGCTGCGTTTCCATTGTAACGTCTGTGAAATAAATGTGAAGGTAGACATTTTACGTATGACAGTTACTAGTAGTTATATTTACCATCGAAATCCTTAACCTCATAGTTCACGTCCGGTACCGGTATACGCACGAAATCAGAAACTGTTTGAGCCAGTGGGTTGTATAGAGTCAAAACAAATTTTTCAGCCTGTTCGGGTACTGCACACGAACTGATATTGAGCAGTGTACAAGTTTCAAATTTAAATGTATATTCCCTTTTGGGACCAGTAGCCCATCGGCGTTCTCGTGTTCCAGACTCTGTAGCACTTTCGGAACCTGTTGTGTCCACAGTCAGCTGATTTAAGACTTCCTTTGTGTTAGTTGCACAAGCGCGTATTGCTACTTCTAGATGGCGCGCATAGTCGTCAGCAACCGCTTGCTTCTCGGTGCCGGTGACTGCGTCATGATGCTGCATGACACCCATTGCTTCGCGCATGAATGAGAGATGCGGATCGAATTGGCCAGCGGTATTTGGTGCCATGGCGGTGAGTTGCTTACAAACTTGTAGAAAATGGTTGCCAACGCGTTCGTAACGTTTTAGGGTGGGCCGAGAGGTGAAGTAACCCGTCCAGTAGGCATGTGGATCTGAGGCGTATGGGAAGAAATCATCATCTTTTGTTGGCCAGCTTATACCGGCGTCATGCAGAGACTTCAGATAACAAGAAGGTGTCGAATAGAGAAGATTTACATTGGAACCATTCACTTGCCGATCATTTGTGTATCTGAGAAGAGTTGGAAAAAGCATGTGATCCAGGTTTTACTATTTTGCAGGAATGAATGATTCGAATTTTATAAATCTCGCCAAAGTTGATGAAGGTTGCTGAAAATTTCTCTTAATAGCGTCTTTCTACTCACTTGATCAACTTATCGAGGTTCTTGAACCAGCTATTCGCATCTTGATAGTGAAAATCTTCACCCATTGTAACGAGTATATTATCGGTGCGATAGCCCTTGGACATATTGCGTGAAATTGCGATGAATTCATCGATCTAAAAGATATGATATTATGAGAGCAACTCAAAGCTTTAGAGTGCTCACAGAGTGAACGATGAAATACGAGCCCGTGAACTTGCGCTCAGCTCGATTATAAGCGATCACTCTGCGAGCATCATAAGTTGAGCTGGGGAATAATAATCGAGATATTAGCACGCGAAACTATTTCATGATAGTACTTTATTCTATATGAGCGACGCCTTGGATGATGAGTGTAAGTAATTTCTGGAGTTTCTAAAATTTTTGTATTGAAAAACGATTTCATTACTATTACGAAAATATTTAAACCAAATTTTGTCTAGCCTTTCAGCAACCTTTTCAACTTCTTTTTGCTATATATGTTTCTATATTTATTATATCTTAGTATTTCCCAAACCTTAAAAGTTTATCCAAATTTTTGAAATAGACATTAGCATCCTGATAAGTAAAATCGCCTCCCATCGTTATGATTATGTTGTTAGTGCGATAAAATTGTGCTTGTTGATCAATGAATTTCAAAAAATCATTCACCTAAAGTACGTATTCGAAATTTAGATAGCATACTTGAATTATTTTCCTTTAAGTACTTGTGATTACGAACTAAAATAGTGCTTAACTTACACGTTGTTTAACATTATTATCTGGGCTATGCTTGGCGTCAATTATCGGTTCATCAGCGCAGAGGATATCAAAGCAAAAGCCAGGCGGTGGCTGGTATTGGTTATACAGAGCGCCAGTGAACAGATTGGATGTATCTTCTATAAATATTTAATGATTAATAAAGATAAATAATATATTTTACTTGTATTTTTGGAAGACTAATTTGTTCAAAGAAATTTTCTTAGCCAAGACACACACCCAAGTTGGCCGAGGCGCGCCATATCATCTCCGCTGTTTTGGTGGTTAAACGCTCCATTTTGTCCTGATAATCGAGACGCCCGAAGAACAAGCCGTCGAAACCCATTTGCGCAAACATTGAAGCCATTTCACGCGAGTGCCCAAACGGATCGATCTGCCAGCCGATGCGTGGTCGCGCACACTCGCCAAAAGTGTCATTGAGGCGCCTAAAATAAACAAATTGGTGTTAAAACTTCAACAAATTATGCTTGAAACACACGCCTACCGCAAACCCCAAGTAAATTGATCGACTATACTCTGATAATGCGCGGTCGCCTCGTCATTCATGCTCCAGGCGCCACCGATAAACTCCAGACGTCCCTCATTTACCAGCATTTTCACTTGCTCCTGCAGCTCTGGTTCCTGTTCGCGCCACCATTTGAAGAAGAAGGCCGATTCAACATAGATGAAACGTTTTTCTGGATCTCGCAACAGTTCATGCACTACCGAGTCCAAAATGTATTGCACGCCGGCTTTTTGTATAAGCGTTTTGCTGCCATAATAATATTGATCGACGGTCTTTAGCCAGCCCACATCATCGTGGGTGTGTGCCACAAGATGGACATTCAACATATTGGGTTGGGTTTTGGGGCAGCTCTGAATCGTTGAGTTTTGAAAGAAACGATATTGGTACAATTGCAATTAAGTATATTTGAAACGGTGCATATCGCTTTTATTAATAAACCATCTAGTAATAAGTCGTAAATTAATTTGGAACACTTCACACTTTCAAATATATGAGAAATTGGATTTGGAATGTCTTTGTGGTTATGAAGTTCAATAAGCTTATGTAGTCGATAATCTAATTGACGTTCATTTTCCTTAAATATTATTTATTTTATATGTATCTATATATTTATTTTATATTTATATATACATATGTACTATGCATCAGTAAAAAGAAATACATTAATTTTCTAATGAATAGCTTTATTACTATGTATCTTCTACATAAGTGTGATCAGCGCACGCTATGGCTTTATAAAGACAATAGTTCGTGCGAAGAAACCTAAGGCTAAGAAAACTAAGGCCTTCGCACCTGTTCTGTAACAATTGGACAGTTGGCAACGACAAGAAGTGGCTAGCTTTGACCGAGGAGAGGAGAACTGTATTCCCTCAGTACAGCGCCATGCTGCGCACTTCCATTGTGACTCGTCTGTGGTTCAGGGAACTTGGTTGCGAGAATCATATACTTTCCTACGATCTGGGCCTAGTACTAAGTGACTAGTACCATTTCTATCTGTAGTCAACGGTGATAGTGAAATATTCACTGCAAGAGAAGAAAATCTGTCCCTTAATTTTTCACCAACAATGTCGAGAGTTTCTATGAGAGTGGTGTTTTCAAAATAGATCGGATCAATCGAACTAGCGAAATAAACCCTTGAATTTAATGTAGAAGTCTTGGGTTTCTTTTTACTATACCTTATATGTATGTAGAATAGCATATATGGTAAATACATATGTATACTATATAAAAAATATATTATGTGTTCTAACCTCAATTGACCTTGTATGATAATTTCCGGGAGTTAATTTTTTAATTAATAAATATGCACAGAATCAAGTGAAATTTCAATGAAAAACTACCAATGAATTTCACAGTCACTTCGATACACTTCATGCCCATAATCTTCGTTAAAGAGAAAATGCACTACTGCAATCCCAACCGTGGAATTATGAAACAAAATTTACAAATAAGGAAAGAACTTTTTTTCCTTTTTTTGAATAGCTTTTAATGACGCGTGATACGTGAGTCGTGCCATTTCATCATTCTTACAAATCGTTCAACTTTTTACGAAAATTGACATCCTTATAAAATGTGTTTGGTGTGCTTCGCTCAACTTATAGTACACATAATTGGCCTGTCCTAATGAGCGTAATATTCCACTTTCAAAGCTTACAAAGGACAGATTGTGTATAAACGAAGACCACTCGACCCTACTAAGCGACATCGCTTCGATTTATGGGTTATTGCAAAGCTCCAAGAAGATCCGACGTTTTCTGGCTCATTGATTATGTGAACAAGCCAAATTGCCGTATTTAGGACGGAGAGCACCCTGGGAAGAATCAATAGCTGCCATTGCATTTAAAAAAAAAAAAAAAAAAAAAAAAAAAAAAAAAAAAAAAAAAAAAAAAAAAAAAAAAAAAAAAAAAAAAAAAAACGGTTGGCATGGTTGTGGGTTGATGGATTTCTTTAGAAAACAATTTGTCCAGCAGATAATTTCATGTTTTGGGCCGGTCAATTGGCCATCAAGATCATGTGATATCATACCGTTTGTCTTTTTCCTGTGGGGATATGTAAAGTCTAAAGTTTACTCGGGCAATCTCGTTTCGATTTAGGCCTTACATGGCTCGAACGAGCCGTCATTGGACCATTTGAGACGTAGTCGCGGCCAACATTTGAAAGAAATAATCCTCAAAAAATTACTGCCAAAGAATGTTCTTTCGAATGATAATAAACATGTATTATTAAATTTGCAGTCCTATGGTTTTTTAGAAGAAGTAGGGAACCTGGAAATGGATAACCTTTTACATGATTATATATGTATATAGTATATATTCTATTCTCGAATCGAACACTGAAGCTGAAGCTCTTTTGAGTTAGTATTATATCTACTCTTGGATTATTTTGCATTTGGTTTTTATGATTATCTAGAAACTTGTTCTAGTAAATGTTCTTCTTCATGTTCGTAAATATTTTGGTATCCTAATGGTAAGTGGGCATTCGAGCTATGCAAACAAAGATAATTGTTGGTAAATTTTTTTTAGTAGTTTATATATAATATATAGTATGTTTATATTGGAATTCCATGTTTCGAAGTTGAAGATCTTGTCAAAAGATAAAATTATATATATAAAATTAAATATTAATTTGTATTTGTTAAAGTATCTACAAATGATTACATGAAAAGTAAATGTAAAACAAATATATGTATATATAAATGAACATATTATACATACATACAAACATATGTATGTATTCATCGCACTTTCTTATCACTCACCTCATAACCGCATTTCTTTCCGGCCGCTACATTTTCATGTTCTGCACTTTGCGGACGCGCTTCGCCCAAGTTGTAGTGCAGCACACATAAAACGAAAATAATAAAAAATTTCTGGGTACCGCGGAATGGGCAGCTACTTGCAGTTGAATGCATTTTGTTCACCAACACAATGGCACGCTCATAGAATTTGTAGCTTCTAAAACGCGTACACACACGCACACCTTACAACGCCACCAAAACAGAACTGGAAATTTCACAAAATAAAATGAAAAGTTGAATAATGAAACTTCACTTAAGCCGCTGATAAAATTGATTATTATTATGTTTTTTTGTTTTTGTTTGTGCGCACTTGAATATTTGATTTGCTTTACACTAACGGACGCTCACACTATTCTTAAGCGCACTCGAGAAATCGCGGTCGTACACTAAGCCGCTAAACGCGTTTTCATTTACATAAATAGCCGGTAGTCTGAGCTGGACCTGGAGAACCGCTCAATGTCAATTTGAGTGTTTGAGTTAGAATATATGAAATGAGTGGGCCATCTATGTAAGTACTCATTTCAAACTGGGATTTCGTTGCTGTGTCGGTTGAATATTTGTTGGATTTGTTCGAGAAAAAAGAGTTTAAGAGAGTTGTTTAAAGCTTACTTTGATTTCTATTATTTGACAGTTTTATTGGTTTAGTTTATCAATCAGGGTTAGCAACATACGTTTTGGTATAAGTGAGTACATATTTTTCATATTTTGTCTATACTGAACAGTATAAACTAAGTTTTGAACACCCAGAAGAATGGATCATAGACAGAATGTTCTGATTTGGGTTATAAACGTATGTACCGTTGAAGTCAGTTTCAGCTAAGTCTTACGGTTCCCCGAAATTAAGACTGCCGACATTAATTATGCAAATGGTGAATAATGGATAAATGCCTAGATGTTTTCACTTTAGTCTGCTCCATACAACTTTGAAAACATGCCTCTAATGAGATTTTTAGTCTTCCGCATGAATGTCTATTGGACAGTGTCCAGTAAGACTCACTACGATTAAAATTTTCTAAGGTCAAGTAGCTCAATAGATCCTTTTCGATGTAAATGGGACAAAGGTAACCTTTCTCGCTAGCTCATCGGCTTTGCATTTGCCAGTGATTCTGCTATGATCAGATACCTAAACGGCTCTGAAGATGAAGTAGTTTTAAGCTATATACATTGTGGAAAGATACTCCTTGACTATCTTGAGTTAGCAAACTCAGTACTGCCGCTTTGCTGTCGGAGTGAGTGACCTTCTCCCTGAAAGAGGTTGCACTTTGTAGCTGTACGTCTATTACCACCTTAACAGCAGCACTTTCTGCCATCAATTGTAAAAATATTGAATTAATGTTTACTTATCATGGTTCGTTAAGTAATAAGTTCAAGTAGCGATTTGAAAAGAAAAGAGCTCTATTGCGGCATAAAAATGTTATAAATCGAGGTTCCAACAAAAAACCTGTACGTCCTTACTTGCAATAATTTGCGGTCATCATATTGTGTCTGTAAATGTTTGTACACATTTAATATTGTTTGTTTTTTGTGGAAATAAAAATAATTTCTGCTGACATCGGATAGTTGTTATGAAAACTACACACATTTGGAAATCGTCTTGGCTCGTTTTGCGACAAACTATGGTTGTTTATAAACAATGAAATAATGAATATACATATTTTAATTTTTTTAAACTTTTTTCATTCAGAATATACATATACATAATTATGTTTGACTGAGCTTCCTAATAGTCTTTAATTGCACTCGCACATTAATGGACGAGTAGCCACTCAGCACCATTCATTTGGTCAGTCATTAATATTCTAAGCAGTCGGTCGTAATTTCTCATGTATTTAGAGCACTTAAAAATCGAAAGAATGTACATGGTAGTGTTTTACTGAGATTCTCCCTTTGAAATTTTGGTGAAAAAAGTTTAAATTCTCATTCACTCTTTATTCGTGGCTTTTACGTTTGTCGGATTTTTATGAAGCAGTTTGACTCATTGCTCTCAGCATTACTCAACTATTTCGGATTGATTTGAGATATGTTAGGTAGTCAAATATCTCCGTTCCCCTTTTTTGCTCTTTATTCAATAATTTATAAAAAGTGTTACTGTAATCGGATTTAGTTGAAATATCTATCTATTTCCATCTTGACGGCAACTTCATTATAACTCGGACAGACACTTTTCACAAGCCTCTTTTGAGTTTAACTTTACACCAACAATGGCGTACGCCATGGACAGGAACAGGTGGTAATCACTTGGCGCTATGTCCGGACTATATGGTGGATGCAATAAAACCTCCCATCCGAGCTCCCTTTGTTTCTAACGAGTCATCAACGAAGTGTGTGGTCTGGCGTTGTCTTGGTTGAACACTACACCGTTCCTGTTGGCCAATCGTTCCAGTTGTTTGCAGTAGATGATAGAATTAAGCGTCTGGCCATATGAGAGCAGCTCATAGTGGATGATTTCCTTTCAATCCCACCAAACACACAGCAAAACCTTTCTGGCCGTCAATCCCGGCTTGGCCACTCTTTGGGAAGATATGTGATCCATTTTTCGTCGCCAGTCACCATCCGCTACAATAATGGGTCGAGTTCGCTCCGTTTTAGCAGCATATCGCAGGTGTTGATTTGGTCCAGAAGTTTTTTTGCTTGAAATCATGCGGTACCCAAACATCAAGCTTTTTTGTGTATCCTGCCTTCTTCAGATGGTTTAAAATGGTTTTGTGACTAACTTTCATCTTCTGAGCGATGTCACGAGATGCCACATGCCGATCTAACTCGATGATGATTTAATCGGTATTCGTCGTCACAGGTCTTCCGCCGGCTTATCCATGCTGTCTTTTTGACCCGCTCTGAATTGTCGAAACCATTCCACCGCAATTCGAAGTGATAGATCCCCCAAAACACCATTTATCTCTCGGAACGTCCCTTTAGCTTATTTGCTTTTAACGAAGGAAAACTTTAAAATAGCGCGAATTTCGCGTTAGTGAACTCCATGTTTACACGTCTGTAACTGTTGAAGGCAATATCGAAACAAATCATGCATAGGGTCATTTTGTAGGTTATGTTAAGACCTTTCAAAAATGTATACTATTGCCAGATACGAGTACTTCAGCGTTTAATACATAGGTCGAAATACAAAAAGGCGGAAGGGATATTTGACAACCGATTATTTTTTTTTTTTTAATGATAATAATAGACATATGTATTTATAAATTACATTGTTTAGAAAAAGTAATACACTTGCGATGTTGATAACAAATATTTGGTTGCCATCTGATCTATTTGCAATCTCAAAGTGCTAGTTGTAAGTATGCTTCACACTGCATTGTTGTCTGGCGTTTAAGGGGGTATGCACCGTGGGTCTCTAGAGTATACTCATTTGTGATTGATTAACAAATATTTATTTATCACAATGATATTGCCAAATTGTTCAAAAATTGTTATCACCCTTTTACAAATATAGAATTTTCTTTCTCCTGGTTTAGAATGCCCCAAAACCTCATGGCAAATATTCAAACCAAAAACTATTATAAATAATTTTATATCATATTAAATAAATCACAAATTTGTTTTTCTTATCATTATTTTGTTTATAATTTATTGCTTAGCTGATGGAGGTTTAGAAAAATCACAATATTTCTAAGAAAAGGTAGCACACTCAGGTTCAAAATTTCGTTTCTGTAATCAATCGTCTTCTATGTGAGCTCATTACTTCTCCCTCAAGGGATATAAGCGAAAAATATAAGTTTGCTAAACACTCAAACGTAGCAACATTTTCATTCAATTTACGCTCAGAGCTGTAAACTCCTACGTAAATAAGAAGCTCGAATACTTATTGGCTCGTCTCTTCTCACACTACACTCAATTGAAATGAGTCGCTGATCAATTCACTCGAGAATTACTTATTTGATTTCTTATCAATTAATTTCATGCCTATCTTACTTCTATTGGACTTTAGTGATATGGCAAATTGCTTTTAGCTTTTATTTAAGATCACATTGTGTATAAAAAGGTTTCTCGGGCTGATGCCGAGCGACAGTGTACGGCAGTAATTCTGAGTGTTTTGGTGTCGTAAGTTCGGCGATTCAGTGTATTAAAATAAAGTTATAAATTGTTATTGTGCGTAAAAAGTGGTAATTTACGCAAGTGAAATGCGATTGTCTTGTGGTTTAGCCACAATTTTTGTGGTGTTGGCTGTGGTCTTGCGAGAGCAGTCGGTCCACGCTGCATGCGGTTATGCGGTGAGTTGTTGACTCTTTGTTGTTTGCATATATTTTGAGTTAGAAGAAATGAGAGAGAGGCTTGAGATATTGTGATAGAGAAGCTCTTCTTAGAATCACTGCTGTGTGTATGCAAGAAAAAGTAAATATATTTCCATAAAAACAATTTTGTAAACAGACGCAGTAACTTCGATACTCTCTATTTAATTTTGTTGAACCCAGCAAGCCAAGTAATACAATGTTTATGAAGAATATCTGCCACTCACTGGTGATGGCTTCAATTCATGGGAAACCTTAAGTATCTTAACAGATTTGCATAATTTGGAAGACTAAATGCTTCGTTTGCACCATTATCTCAAGTGTTCAAATCGAAACAGCTAGCCACCTGTCAGATTTTATTGCTTTTTAACTCAACTACTTTTGTAGTATTATACCGGTGAAATATGCGAGAATATCTTATCGGCTAATAAATTTTAATTGTTTTTAAGGGGATTTTAAAGTGCCATAATATTGATATTAAAAAAATTACTGATTGTGCAGTCTTCTTTAGGTAAGTGTATGGAGTTATTATTGTGCCTTTTTTCTTAGATATGTTTTGTGAATAAAATTCTACGAAAAGCTTATCTGCGGAAAGACTAAGCATGTCAACAAATATAATCAATGATCGCGATATTAAAATTTAATTTATTGCTTAAGTAGCAGACTGGGAGCAAATCAATTAAGCTGATGGCGGTATCGATGTCGAAATTTAACACTATTTTACTCTAAAATACTCAGTCCAAAACACCACTCTTTGTTATGAGTCATGCTTTGTTGCGGTTTACGGTCTATGTAGCTTACGATGCTAGGACTGCTATGAATGGTTCTAACTTTAGACTAAAGTACTATAGATCAGATTAGGGTCTTTAAGTTAGTTCGGAGTCAAAAAGAGTCTTTCAATGGATCTGGCGTTCAAATAAGAAAATCGATATAAATAATTGCTCTTTTACAATATCAACTTGTAAGTCTGACAGATATTATTTGCTAGCACCGATTTAGGTAGATACATAGGTAGTGAAAGGCCTTTACGTTACGAGTTTCATTCTTATAGTATCGGGACTAAGTCCCCACACTCTATTACTTACTCTCTGAACCAGCCTATGCTTCAGATGGTGTTCATCAGTTGGAAAGGTATTATCTGTGCAAAGAAAAAAAAAAAAATAAAAATAAAATAAAATTAGTAGAATGTTAGATCTACTAAGATATCATGGCATTATTTAACTAACTTTGACAAAAGCCTAAGAGTGATTTCAAAGCCGTATCGCTTACAGATTACTTCAGGAACTTTTCGGCATTTGCGAACGTCCTCATGTTGACTCGCAAATCGATGCTTTCGGTCATTCACGTGAAATGGCATCACTATTTATATATATAAATATATATCTAGCGAGCGCACTCAGAACAGAAAGACTTTATTAAATTGATGCGATCTCCGCTTGGAAGACACTGTAATGGTCTGGTAGACGAAAGAAGATTCTGCTATTTAGTTTGGCTGAAAAGACACTACCTCCCACTCGATTACCTAATTTCTACCCATTCATATGGATATGGATACTGTTTATAACTGCGCCCTTCTCCACATCACCTCTTTTCGACACTTCTCTGGAAGGGAACGCAATGTTGGTGACTGTATTTAAGTTAAATTCTATGGGATTTCAAAAATCTGTGATCTTGAGTAGAAACGGGAACTTACTAAGCATCATATAATGCCCTTGTTACTATGACTAATAGGAAGGTCTAAGATTTGACTTCACTATACTTCACTATCAGTTGGTTACGAAATAGTTTTCTCTGCTGTCATGAATCATATACATATATCATGGGTATATACATACATATATGAGTTTTCTTGCCTGAACCAATGTTAAAGTCGTATTAATGTCAAGAAAACTCTTTAACTATTCACAGAACTGTCCGGCGGGAAAGATAAACATGATCAATGTCCATTTGGTACCACACTCCCATGATGATGTAGGCTGGTTGAAAACTGTTGATCAGTACTACTATGGATCACGTAACGGCATACAACGAGCGGGCGTGCAATACATTCTCGACAATGTGGTGCAGGAACTGTTGAAGGATGCTAATCGGCGGTAAAAATCAACAACTATTTTCCTCCAACAGATTTTAATTATTTTTCTACAGCTTTATTTATGTCGAATCTGCGTTCTTCTTTAAATGGTACAACGAACAGAGTGCCGATATAAAGTCGAAGGTAAAGACACTGGTAAATGGTGGACGCTTGGAGTTTGCCGGCGGCGCGTGGTCAATGAACGATGAGGCGGCGGTGCATTATCAGTCGGTGGTGGATCAGTTCACCATTGGCTTAAAGTAAGCCCACACGTTGATAGTGTTCAAAATATATTTATATGCAGCAATTTTTATTATCGCTTACAGAGTACTTCAGGAACTTTTCGGTACTTGCGGACGTCCGCATGTCGGCTGGCAAATCGATCCTTTCGGTCACTCGCGTGAAATGGCATCACTATTCGCTCAAATGGGTTTTGATGGACAATTCTTTGCACGCATGGACTGGCTCGATAAGAAGGAGCGTATGAACAATATGACAGCTGAGATGATCTGGAAGGCTAGCGCTGATCTGGCTGAAAGATCCGAACTTTTTACGGGCCTGTTGTATAATCATTATTCCGCGCCGCCAAGCTTTTGCTTCGACACACTCTGTTCCGATGAGCCCATAATTGATGGCAATAGCTATGACAACAATGTACTAGAAAGGGTAATACCAGATAACGAATCTTTTAAATGAGTACGTTCTTAACGATGTAAAAATTGTAGGTGAACACATTCATTGAGTACATACAAAATGTTACAGCGCGCTATCGTTCTTCACATGTACTTATTCCCATGGGTGATGACTTCAATTATCAGAATGCGGCGATTAATTTCAAGAATATGGACAAGTTGATAAAGTAAACTGAAACATGCCTGCCTCCCTTGAACTCTCCTTAATAATAGAGGTTTTCCATTTTTACAGATATGCTAATGAGCGTCAGTCCGTTGGTTCGAAGGTGAATCTATTTTACTCCACACCCGCTTGTTATCTAAAAGCCATACATCAGGAGCCACTAACTTGGCCCAATAAAACGCAAGACTTCTTTCCCTACTCCACTGATTGGCATAGCTACTGGACCGGTTATTATAGCTCACGTCCCACGCAAAAACGTTTCGAACGTGATGGCAATCACTTCCTACAGGTGACTAAACAACTCACCACGCTCGCGAACCTCACTGGAAACAGTGTGGATGACAATTTGAATCAGCTTCGTCATGCCATGGGCGTAATGCAGCATCATGATGCCATCACTGGCACTGAGAAACAACATGTAGCTCAAGACTACGATCGTCTGCTGACTGCTGCTATTGAGTCGGCGCATACGAACGCTCGTTCGGCATTGCAGAAACTAACCAACCTCACAAGTGGTGAATTCGTCAGCTGTTTGCAACTGAATATCAGTGTTTGCGACTTCACCAAGGATGGCGCAAATCAAGTGGTGGTCACATTGTTCAACCCACTTGCGCGACCCTCAACACAATATGTCCGTGTGCCGGTGAAGAATGAGGCTTACATAGTGACCGACGATACTGGTAAGTCATTTGGGTTGCTAAATAGTAACGAACTTGCAATATTTATATATATTATCATCAAGGTCGTGTGGTTCAATCTGATTTACTACCTGTGCCCAGGGAAGTACAGTCTCTCAGTTTCCGTCCTAAGCATGCCACTCACGAACTCGTTTTCTCGGCTTATGTAGAGAAATTGCGTAGCTACTATATTAAGAAGAGAATTAATCGACGAAGTGCGGACGAACAGGCAGGAGTGAAACTAAATGGGTGGGAAGATGAAAGTATTTTGGAAGCTAAATTAAGAGTTAGACCATCGGATATTCAATCAAGAGCAGAGATCGTTGTTAAGAATTCGGTAAGTATGGCTGAGAACGGAGTGAAATTAGTAGAAAACAGTCTCTTTTCATTGCATCCGATTTCCAATTTCACAATGTGGAACCAACTTTCAAATTAACAATCTTTCCCGTATGTTTCTTTAGCTTGTTAAGTTAACCTTCGACGGCACAGGACATCTCAATCAGGTTGAAATGAATGGTGTCACCGAGAAAATACGTCAAGACTTCTACTACTACAATGGCGCAGCTGGCAATAATGCCGAGTTCAAGAATCGTTCTTCCGGTGCTTATATTTTCCGACCCAATGGCTCTGAAATATTAATTGGTAATACCGCCAGCTTCAGCATTTATGAGGGTGCACAAGTTAAGGAGGTACATCAACGCTTCAATCAATGGGTGTCGCAGGTGATTCGTATTTACGAAGGCGTGAATCGTGTCGAGTTCGAATGGCTCGTCGGCCCGATACCGATTAATGACAACATCGGCAAGGAGGTGATCACACGCTTCAACAGCAGCATCAAATCGAATGGTGTCTTCTACACCGACTCCAATGGTCGTGAAATGCTGCGTCGTGAACGTAACAAACGTGAATACTTTAAGCCCAATATGACTGAAGCTGTTTCGGGTAATTATTATCCAGTGACAGCACGCATTGCCATTGAGGACGCAACGAAACGTATTGCCTTGCTCAATGACCGTGCGCAGGGTGGCAGTAGTTTGAAAGATGGTGCACTTGAGTTGATGTTGCATCGTCGACTGTTGCGTGATGATGCATTTGGCGTAGGTGAGGCTTTGAATGAGACTGCTTTCGGTCAAGGTCTGGTGGCACGCGGCAAAGTGTATCTTGTGTTGGGTAAAGTAAAGGACGCACCATCACGCTACGAGCGCGTCGAGCAGCAACAGCTACATTTACCCTTCTGGAAATTCTTCAGCAGTGCTTCAAGAGCTAGCAATGTGAAGGTGCCCAAAGTTTCTGCTTTCGATGTGGCGCAAAATGTACATTTACTAACTTTGGAACCGTTCGGCACAAAAGAGCGTCTGCTACGTTTGGAGCATATCATGGACAAAACTGAGTCTGCTTCGGTAACATTTAATTTGCGCCCGATTTTCGATCAACTGGGCGGCGAGGAGATACGTGAGACCACATTGGATGGTAGTTTAAGTTTGAGTGAAATGAGTCGCTTCAAATTCCAGCCCGAAGGTTCAAAGGTTCGCAAACCTGAGTATTACAAATCCTCACACACGCCACTTTCAGCGAAGAAGAAGGACTCGACGAGCAAATTCAGTATTGTTTTGAATCCCATGCAGATACGTACATTTATTATTAAATGGAAATAAAGTTCCTGTTATTAAACAAGCGCAGTCATCGTGAAAGGTTAATATTTTATTTCTATATTATTTTTACTATATATCTTAAATCGTAATCGAACTAGTCTCTTAACTTTTGAGACAAGGGGAACGTTACAGTCTTTGAGGACATTGTTAAAATCGACCACTGTAGCATATGTGTAGTCGCCATAAAAACTGACCATAAACAAGTAAGGAAGGGCTAAGTTCGGGTGTCAYCGAACATTTTATACTCTCGCATGATAAAGTGATAATCGAGATTTCAGGCGTGGTTGTGAACCGATTTCACCCATATTTGGTACATGTCATCASGGTRTTAARAAAATATTAYATACCGAATTTCATTGAAATCGGTHGAGTACTTCCTGAGATATGGTTTTTGGTCCATAARTGGGCGACGCCACGCMCATTTTCAATTTTTAAGAAAAGCCTGGATGCAGCTTCCTTCTGACATTTCTTCCGTAAAATTTAGTGTTTCTGACGTTTTTTGTTAGTAGGTTAACGCACTTGTAAGGATTTTCAACATAACCTTTGTATGTGAGGTGGGCGTGGTTATTATCCGATTTCTTCCATTTTTGAACTGTATATGGAAATGCCTAAAGGAAACGACTCTATACAGTTTGGTTGACATAGCTATAGTAGTTTTCGAGATATGTACAAAAATGTTAGTAGGGGCCGGGCCACCAAGGCTGTTGGATGTAGGCCATGATCGTCAGACCAATGGTGATATATTGAGCAACATTATAACTGTCAAGACTTTCAGTCACAATTGTTGAAAAACAGCTGATGAAAGTCCAGAGACCGACAAACATATGAACCACTGGTGCCTTGTGGGTATTCGGACCTCACTCCGTCCCACATCTTTGTAGAGATGACAGCAAAGACATAACAGAAAACAGAACAGGCTAATAAGCGTTCGAAAACAGAGTGTCTTTGTAGATCTCTCATTTACTGTGTAATGGGATTTCATAGTCTCACTGAATACGAGGGTTTCATCCTTGAGGAGTATCTGCGTAGGAGAACAATGCAATGACGGCTCGAAAACGGCAGTTGGAATTGGGGTTGGTATAGTGGGACCATATACAACATTCAGTGTTTATATCAGATTTCAAAGCATGATCTATGCTGAGATCTTTCGAGATTAGTCTAAGGAAAGACGTGATAAATTCTAATTGTAATTCTCAGTGATAGTTTAGCGGCACTTCAAGCAATCTCGTCCGTTGAAGCCGATCTCCTGTCGAAAGAAGTTGCGACAACCACTCCGAAAAACCGGAACTGTTCCTTGTTTTGGGCCCCCAAACCTTACGATAGGAGCTAGGAGAAAATGTCAGTAAAAACGCCTTTGTCAACAAGTGCTTCCGCTTGCACCGGCGAATTGGATGCAAAGCGGTTAAAGACACTAATCGCTTTTCTCAGAAAAAAGGCTTGGGGATTTTATACAGGTTGCTGTAGGCTGTGGTGTGCACTGCGCATATACTCTTAGATTGTCTCTCAATTGCAAGAAAAGGGAGTCAGGCAATTTTGTAAATTAATCCGGTGAAGAACACACTGCAATCATTAACGGAGGAGCTTTACTAAGAATGGAATGATATGAACGGTGTTGTGGTAACGGGAGGGGGTACAATATAACACGTATTGTAGTATATTCTTCAAATTTCAAACTATTTATCTGCTAACTTGTTGACTGTTAGATGTAAGTACCAATCAGACAACCACACACTTTTGAGATTAGTAAGAAGTTTGCGTTTTAAGTGAGATTAAGGTATTTGGAAGACTGGTGTTTGCATCCATAATGAATGGAGCCGCAGAAAAAATGTGGAATGCACTGTCTTGAAAATATCAACTATCTATATATGTAATATATAAGAATGGGGTCTGGCTAGTTGACTCAAAGAGCAAAATTATATGTATTGAAAAAGTAGTATAAGAGAAGATATTCTCCCAAATAATTATGAAATTGGAAACTGTTCTGTATGCAATATTCGCACATGTTTCTAAAGGGTTGATCAACATAAGAAATTTCTCTCGACCACTCCCGTTTTTCAAGGACTGAGATATAATTCTACTCTACATATGGCTCGACCTTTCTGGAAGTTTATCAATAAAGATGTAAGTGCCGGGCGTTTTTCTCAACACTGACCCAGTAAAAACGCTTGTTTTTTATTCTACATTATATATATATGTATTTGCCTAATGCCTTTAGTATGCTAAGATGCTTAAACTAAGCTTTTAAAACTAAAAATCTAATCCATTACAAAAGTTATTTTTTAAGCTAAAAACTTGTTTGCGTTTCAAGCAGCAGCCATTAATCTTTCTATGCTGAGATCGCTCTTAACAAACACTCACATTTATTATGTTTTAATATGTATAGACAAATATGATATTTAACAAATTTTGCGAAGAATGTGGATAAAATTTAGAGACTATGCTATTAATTGTATTTCGTTTACTTATAAAACAAGGCACACAATTTCATTGCAATTTCTCATATAAAATACTTGAGCAAATATTTTTATTGTAGTGCTAGTGGTTAAAGCTAAAGAAAGTTTATTTTTAATTTTCATATTTTAGACACACACATATGCATGTATGTGTACTATATATGTATAGCTTTTGCTTTATTACTATGCTTTCAGCCATGTACGTATGTATGAAAGTTCACAGTTAGAAAATACATGGATGCAAGTTAGCCGTGCAAAGTGCTTACTGCTACTAATACAATGGAAAATATTTTATACGAAGTCGCTGTTGGTCTCCTTTAAGCCGAATTTGATAAGAAATGCTTTGAAGAGAAGGTCATCGTGAGACATTTCACGAAAAGCATGTGACCAATGCGAATAACTTGAGCAAACAAGAAGCTCCACTGCTGAAAGGCACTCTTTGCTGTTGCAAAAACGTTTGATGTGCTTTAGAAATCCGCATCCCAGCCGGAGAACTCGTCTAGCGGTTCCTCGGGATCACAGGGGAATTTATCAAAGTATGTCGTGTCCGTTGGATGCGCGATAGGGCGCACGAATGGCGGTATAAGCAGTTGCTGCTCAAGACCGTCCCAATCGAAGCCGAGGAACCATCTAAATAGAGAAGAAATAATCAGTAAAGATAACGGAATGTACTAAAATTATATCTTTTATTTCAAACAGTCTCTTTTCTTAAGCTGTTAAGCTGCCGATTTTAGTAGTTTTTGGTTTGTTTTTGAGATGCATACTCACTTGTGCTTTTTGATATTCTGTATGCCTCCTTTTTGGTAACCCAAACGCTCAGCTGGTACATCACGGCATAGCTTCTTAATCAGCTGGACAGCCGATCTGGACATGTGCTTAGGGAAGGCGATCATATCAATACCTTTCAGTATAATATTATACGTTTTCATGGGATCTGTGGCGGTGAAGGGAGGCCTGTATCAAAAAGTAGAATGAGAAAACATTAAATATCTCTGCATTAACCAAATCGTATCGGGAAACTTACGTGCCATTGAGCAACTCATGTATGAGTATACCCAAAGCCCAATAGTCGACCGCACGATCGTGTCCCTTGTTTAGAATAATTTCGGGCGCCACGTACTCTGGTGTGCCGCAGAATGTCCAGGTCTTGCTGCTGTTGCCAATATATTTCGCAAAACCGAAGTCCACCTGTGACAACATTTTTGTTAATTTTATTTTTTCTTATGTTTAATTAACAAGCACACTTACCAACTTCACATAACCTCTCTCGTCCAGCATTAGATTCTCTGGCTTGAGATCTCTGTAGATAATACCACGCGCATGCAAATACTCGAATGCCTGCAAAACGCAGCCGATAATGAACTGTGTCGCGTTGTCATCGAAAGAGCCACGATCACGCAACATCGTCCAAATTTCGCCACCCATGCAAGCTTCGAGCAGCATATACACATACTTCTCATCACGGAATGTGCGATAGAGACGACAAATGAATGGTGAATCGCACGTTAACATAATGGTGCGTTCGCTAAAGACATGCTCTTCCTGTTTGGTATCGACAATATGCTTCTTCTTTAGGCATTTGAGTGCGAATGTGTCAACCCTATTCTCGCGGTACGCTTTGACAAGTTCAACGCGGCCGAAACCGCCAATGCCGAGTGTGGCGACAACCTCTAAATCGGTGAGCTTCATCTCAGGGAACTCTGTAAGTGGTTGAAAATAAAAGAAAAAATTTTTTAGTTTCTAAACAAAATGTAAATTATTGATATGAGATACTGTTAAAACCTTCAGCTATCTCATGTTGTAGTTTGCTCGTTTTATTTTAAGCGAAAATCTAGACCCAAGCTCAATTTTGCAATGTTGGACATATTACTGGATTTAAAAGTAGCTATAATTACTCCGTAAGACTGTAAAAATATTGGTTTCATGTGTGAAAACTGCTTACTTAAGTCCAAAACTTTAAAGAGGTCTAAAACTTGAAAACTGTTTAGAATAACTTGTGGATTCCATTGCTGTCTCAAAGTTATTGCTAATATGCCTGAGATCAACCAAAATTTAATAAATGTTTTCAGAGTTGAGTATCTCCAGAATATGATATTAATTTTTTGAACACTTGAGTTAGACCAAGTTTGCAAAAGCTTATGATCAACACTTTGAACAACGAACTGTCATGTAGAATTTTTGCTTGAACATAAATCCCCTAACTCTCTGTAAAGTGAAATCATAACTGGCCTTACCTTGCTTAACATTAGCGCCGAAAATCTCCTTCGTCTTCTCAGCATACTTCATGGCCAGCACACGATTCTCATCGCCATAGTTCTTCTCCTTCAACTCACACAAATCACCAATCAGTTGTGTGAATGAATCACGATCCAACGTCAGACATTCAACGCCCGGCGCCATAGCGATAATATTCGCTGTACGTTTATCCTCATTGATGAGAGCCTGCTCACCAAAGTAGTCGCCTCGTTCCAGCGTACGGATCTCCTTCTCCTCCGAGGTGGGCGTTAGTTTTTGTGTAACCTTAACGCTACCTTGAGAGATGAGGAAGAAAGTGTCACCGCTGGCGCCTTGACGTATTATGTAAGT